CAGGGTTGGGTTCCTTGTGGAGGGCTTCTTGTGGTCGGGCCCCAACTGTACGACATCTGGCGCGTGCAGCTGATGTCGGCCCCGTCGTCCACATATCCCCTCGTCCTCCTTCTGCCCAGAGCCGTCTGGGCTCCACCAGGCCCTTCTAGAATCCTCCCCAAGCCAGTTTACATCCCCTGAGGTCGACTTCCTCATCCTCCTCCTGCTCCTTCTCGTTCTCCTCTTTCTCCTCCCCCTCCTCCTCGTCTTTCCTCCTCCTCACCACGTGGAGGAGGAGGAGGAGAAGTAGGAGGGCCTTGAGGGATTGAAATAGTTTTGGCTTCTGGGTGCTTCTAAGGGCTGCTACGGAGCTCTTGGCAGGAGGTGGATGAAGAGGAAGATACAGAGAAATATTAGATAGAGGGCGCGGAGGGGACATGGAAGAACAGGAGGGGAAGGGGGTAGGAGAAGGCTACGTATGGGGCAAGGAAAATGGACAGAGAGGGGGGAAGGGGTCGGAGCAGAAGGAGGGAAGAGAAGAGGGGGAGGTATGCAAGGAGCGGGCTGAGAAACATGGAGTGAAGTGATTCAAGGAAGGTCGACAAACGAAATTGAACGAGGAAACATGGCACAGGACAAGGGTTGCACGGTAGAAGATACGAATCGAAGAAGACGGAGGGCGCGACGAGCGCTAAGGCGAGACTCACCTTTTGAGAACGGGCTTCCATCCATCCGTGTAGAAGCTGGTGATTCCCAGATGCATGGTCACAAGTTGTGGTGAAGTCTCATGCGAAATGCCCAGCCCGCTCTGACGGCACGTCTGGTGGTGTGGTTGCGAGGGCGATGGATGGAGGGCGTGGAGGAGGTGGAGACGCAGGTGTAGGCAGATGAGGGGGAAGAGGAGGGGAAGGGGCAATGAGGAAGGACGAGTCGGAGGAGTAAGGGGAATATGAGAGGAGACGACTGGGGGACGACGATGATGAGAGAAACAGTTGAAGAAATACTACGGCTGGTGTGCAGTGTTGCCACAGTGAACGCATGCTTACTTGAAAGACAGGTTCGACGAAAGCTTCACCAGGGCGCGACTCCAAATGAATATTCTACGCACGACACTTGCAAGATGGAGCGTTCTGAATGGAAGTCTGGGCGCTTGGCCGCTGGGGTGCAAAAGCGAGAAACTGTCAGTGCGACTGGTATACTGCGTGCAGCCATGATACAGAACGGCAGCCCCGAGACTTCGAATTCGTGGGCTCTCTCTGTCTGGCCCAGGAGCTGTCGACCCCGGCCCCAGGACAGGTTTCCCTGGCTCTGGGGCCCGAGGGCTGCCCCTATAGATGCCGACGCGCCGAAACAGCGCGGGCGTTTCAGTGTGCGCTGTGGGAGGCAGAGGCTCGGCATCGCTCGGACGTCTGCGTTTCTTCTTCGGCGAGGACCATCGAGGAGCATCCTTGATCATTTGGCGAAACAGCCACGCACGAAACCGAAGAAAACACACGGAATGGACGTCCGAGCGATGGCGAGGAGGCCCCACCAAGACGGCCGGCCCCAGGGGGCCACGGGGCGGCATCGGGCGCCGTCGCCCGGTCCGGCCCGCGCGGCCCCCGCGCGGAGGCTCAGCGAAAGAACCGCGCCATCGACAGGTTCCACGACAGCCGCGCGCGGGGAGAGGGGGGGCTCCTTCGATGGGGGCATGGCAGGAGGACCCTGACACCCTCGCGTCCTACCAAAACTCGTGGCAGGGGTTTCGGGCAGTTGTCGGCCTCCAGGGGGGGTGCCTTACGAGGCCCCGGGGCCGTCAGACCCAGCGCGGGATGAAAAACTGGTTCCTGGGAAGGGGTCCGGACCTCTGGGGAGCGGCGTCGTGAACAAATCATTTCGATGTCGCAAGTCTGAGGAGGAGGAGGAGAAGGAGAAGGAGTAGGAGGAGGAGGAGGAGGAGGGGGAGGAGGAGGAGTAGGAGGAGGAGAAGGAGGAGGAGGAGGAGAAGGGGGAGGAGTGGAGGAGGAGGAGGAGGAGGAGGTGGAGGTGTTGGTCCTTTCTCCGTTAGTTTCTTCTTATTGGGAAGGCCTCAGGGCCAGTGCCGCCGACTCCTCAAAGGGGGACGGCGACGACGGCGGCGGCGGCGGCGACGACGACGAAGCGAGAGCAGCGGGCTGGGGCTGGGGCCAGGGCCCGGGCCCGGGCTGGGGCTCGGGCCGGAGGCGGGGCTGGGCTGGAGCAGCAGGGGTGGGGGTCAGGGCCGGGGCCGAGGCGGGGGGAGGGCTCCTGAGCTTCCTCGCCCGAGGCCGCTTCTCCACACTGGGGAGCGCCCAGGGGGGGGGGGGGGGCGACAACCTCTGGGACCCCCCCCCCCCCGGGGACGCCCCCGAGGACATCCCTTCCCCCAGAGATCCGACGCTCCCATGGCGGGATTTTAGCAATTTTCGGCTTCCGGGGGCCCCGCCGGGCCTCGGGAGCGTGAAAAAACGAAAACGATTCAGGACGAAAAGCCGGCCCTGGGGAAGTGGTCCGGTCCCCCCCGGGGCCCACGCATCAACAAAAATTGGAGCGGCCAGATGTTTGGGTGGGACCCCCCCGGGATGAAAGGGGCTTCCTTTCGAATCAAATTATAACGGCGTTGTTTGATTTCCGTTAGGGTGGACCGCTTGAGGGGGAGGGCCAAGAGAAAGAGAGGGAGCGGGACGACGAGGGGGCGGATGACGACGACTCAAACGGAAAAGCTTCTCACACACGCCAGCAACGTCGGCGGATTACGAGTTGTGTTTCGAGTGTGTCAACCCCCTTGCTCTTCTCCGCGCTCCAGGACGGCCCAAGCGGCCCAGAGATCGCCTCCAGACGCGCCAGACGCCCCCCAGAAGTTGCCCATACAGCCCTTGGGGGCCCCAAGGCCTCCACAGTGGTGAGTTAGCGGACTTAGCATTTCGTTTTCTGAAACTTATAAATTGCGCTTGTGAACGCAAGTAGTTGCAACTACATGCATGCTGGTGCGCAGCCACTGCATTTTCAGTGCTACAGTTATTGATTTTCAGTGTTCAAGGCGCAAGGCGAGCGACAATGACACGTGCGCGCGCACAATCTTGCGTCGCTGCGCACAGGAAGCCAGGTGGCAGCTCAAACGATTGCCTACCACTTGAACATAGGAGGCACTATAGCTATTGATCCGCCCCCACTGAGTCCGCATGCCTTGCAAAGTTCCGAATCCTTCTTATCAGCCACAACGGACGTCCCACGCATCGCAAATATCCACCACGCAGTGTCACGATCGCACGTGTGCAAGTGCTGACATTTAACTGCAGGTGACACGCCCGTATAGTGGTGGCGGCGCCTGGTTTGGAAACTTTGCAAACGCCCCCGCCATGGCAGTGACGATGTCGGTCGAGTGCACCAGCTGCGCGTCGTCGTCGGTTGGCACCGCGGTCAGCACGCCGAGCCGATTACGCAACCATCGTTCAATTGACTGCAGCGGGAAGCTGCACCTCCCCAGCCGCCTTGCCACTATTGGCAACGGAAAACAACGCAACGTCGCGAGACTGGCAGCTGAACAGCGACGACACGCGAGCCCTCAGAGCCGCGGTCGTGGAGCCATTCGGGGGGCGATGGCCGACCTTCTCTTCGATGAAGGCGTGCATCTTCTCTGGCGCCGCCCTGGGCTCCACCAAGTGCTGCGAGAAATCGAACGCGTCGGTGCTACGCAAATTTGCTACAAGCAGGCATGCGACCTCGGACAACACGCCCCTCTCAGAAGCTTCCAGCTGGCGCATATCATTGCAAAAAACGATTGAGAACCCTGTGTTTTCTCTCGTGTACCAAGCACGAAAGAAGGCATCCAAACCTGACCAGATGCCTCGGGGAATGGACCGATCAATGAAACTTCGGTGTCATGTACTCTTGCCGTTCCAAGCGTCTAGACAAGCGTTTGCCCTTGAGAGCGCTGCCGGGCGCGCGGCATGGCGCCGCAGCTTCGATGCGCCACACCAGATCGCACAAACGAGCAAAAGCGAAGCACTCCGCGCGCGCGACTCCCATAGGCGGTCTAGTCTCCAGCACGTAAGCATACACCAGCGACAGCAAAGACAATACCTCACTCATCGGGCACGCAAACGCTCTCGCCTTGCCGCGGGCCGTTCCGCGGCGCTTCTGGAAGAGCCCGGCGAAAATATCAGAGCTGCCGCGCGCGCCGGGCAAACGCCATAGCCCGACGCATTCTTCGGAACTGGAGCACGCGCTGGACAACCCCTGACTCTTACAACCCGCAAGAAAGAGATGCGTCGAAATGCTAAAACCCTCGAATGAAGAACGCGTGCATCCAGTCGCACCAAAGTTGGTCAACAGGTAAGATAGTGCGATCAAGCAGCGGGTCGAGCAGCACATTTTGCACGCTGCGGTTTAAGCCGAACGCTCTCTCGCGGGCCCTGGATGGGGGCGGGCGGGCAGCGCGCTGCTCATTCACTTACTGGTCATCCCCGCTTCCCCCCAATCCCCCCCCCTTCATCACCTTCCCGTCCTTCATTATCATCCTCTTCTCCCGTGGAATTTGCAGATCGCCCTGCAGGTCTTGGAATCGGCGCTGGTGCGCGTCGCGTGGAACCCCGCCGACTTCCGCGCCCCCCCCCCCCCCCCCGACGCCCTCGTCCCCCGCAGAATCGATGCTGCGCTGGCGCGCGACGTCTGCTCTCAGCAGGGTCGCCCCATCTTCGTCGATCAGCGAGATACCCATCGCAATCGCATTGCGGCAACGCTTGGCAACGGAGCCCCCTGGAATAAGCCAGACCGACCTGTGGGCGTTGCCGTCTTGGAGGGTCATCCAAAGTTTGCAATGCAAGCTTGCGCCAGGTCCCAGCAAAACGCCCGTCGCGCGCAGTGAACAGTCCGACCTGCTAACCATATATGCATATCTAAACCTCGAATGCCTGTGCGAATCCCGCATCGACGTTGGACGCGCGTTTTGACCTCAGGGCTTCCACGCAGAACCGCGCACCCTCGTGCGACGGTACTCCTGGCCCAAGTTTTTACAAAAGATACGTGGAACATTCGCAGATTCCTGGGGCCATGCCGCGACAATTGGCTGCCTGGCGCGACCTCGCCAGAGTAAAGTATCAACGACCACGGTCGTTCGAACGAGCGCGGCCTCGCCGCCAACTGCTGCATTGGGCGCGCACCACACGCAACAATGTTTGACAATTGGCAACGGCGAACTCCGTCTCGGAATCCATGGCATAACAAATGATCCCACGGAACAGCGCGCCATGCGGCGCCGCCTGGTTAATCGCAGAACCGTCAGCCCCGCGGATCTCCCTCCGCGACGCAGAGAACGGCCCCCATGTGCACTCGCCCAAGATCGCAGCCAATGCAGCGGCAGAGACATGCGGACATTTCCTCCTCAACGATTATATGTTATTGTACTTTGTTTCGGTTTGGTGGCGTCTGCCATCCAGCTCGAGGCCGCAGCCGCGAGCAGCGTTGCGCGAGCCCGCCCTTTTAAAAAAACTACGGGGAAGAGCATGTTGGTTCAGCAGCGAAAGCATGCGATGCATCCACGGATATACAATACCTGCCCCATTGCACGCGCGCGTGCACAACAGCGGGCACATGCAACCGCAACCGCGTCGCATGCGTCAGGGATTGCATGGCGCGCGCGTGCATGGCACGCGCAGTCGACCGCGCCATCGCAGATATCTCTGCAATCGGGCGTGCGTGATTGAACGCATCTGTAAATGCAGAGCGCACCTGAAGTCCGACTCGCATAAGATGCGCGACCATGCAGTCGCAATTGCAATCGCAACTGCGGAGTGCGCACGCAGCCTCAGATGCACCTGCACTCGTAATTGCATCGGCGGTTCATCCACCCGGCCTTCCCATATGTCCCCCGCCGTCGCCTCAGCCATGCCCCCTCTCGCCGCGCCCGCGCGCGTTGACCCCCCCCCCTCCCGAAAACTGGTTCTTCCGCCGATCGCATCCCTGAATGCGCAATCACGCAACCACACTTTTAGAATGTGCAATCACACATGCAACAATGCAGCCGCAACTGCAAGTCCGAAGACCGCGCCACTGGCGCGATTGCAGGGGTTTCTATCTGCAGCGTTGAGCGGAACGCGCGCTGCATGCGCATACGCCGGCGCATGAACTCGCAGGGATACGCGCCAAGGCGCGAGCGCGTGGCAAATGATATGCCAGAAACCGTTTCCCACATGTACATGTACAGTTATGCACATATGTATATATATATATACACAAGTGTGTAAATCTACAAAAATACATACATACTTATATATATATATATATATATATTCCAGCGGCACTCGCATACATCCTGCATTAGGATCCCGCCAGTTCATGTACCCAAACAGGGTTGAGGTTCACCATCATGTCTCAGGCGTTCTTCTTGCTCTTCAGCATCTCGCCTGCTGACCTGCGCGCGCCCCTGGCAAGTGCGAGCGCCTGCTTCTCGTTGCGGGTGTTATGCTTGGCCGAAGTGAGCGCTCTGCCATACCACTTGGAAGCAAACGCATTCCGCGTGGACTGACGGTCGGCAGGGTCATAAGCAACCTTGAAGGCGCTGGTGAGGCGGGCTTCTTCAGGGCGGGAATGGCGGTCGATGGGTCTGTTGGCAACGTCCGTTGCAGCAGCTGGCCCTTTCCCGGCCGCAGGACGTCAAAAGCGTGCTTCTCGTGGGATTCCTGCGCGACGCGATCCGCGGCCACGCTGCGTCACCAACAGCAGCAGGCACTGCTGTGTCATCGAGTGGAAGTTATGCGGCCTTGGCTTCAGCAGCAGCAGCTGCATCTGCGATGGGGGCAGCAGCCGCGCCAGCGATGGTCTTGTCTGGCTCGGACGACACAGTCGGCACGCGCTGCTGAGAAGAGCTCGAACTTGCACGGCCTGCAGCGCGCAATTCCATGGGTCTGAGCGGCCAGCCTATTCGACTCAGAGTTGCCGTCTTTGGAACGTTGATCCCACGAGCGCCAGCTACCGAACTGCTGCTCCTGCAGCGGCTTCCACGCAGACGCCTGCCAGTTGCCGCCCCGCTCTTTCTGAAGCATCATGGTTGCTGTCGCTGCGCAAGGGGACATGCTACCCCCAATGAGATTCATAATCGACGAAGTCCTCAACGGGCGGGCCGTCATCATCATAAGCAGCCCCCGAGCAAAGGCGCGGGCAAACCCGCGGGGCGCCCAGGACAATTTCGGCGCGCCGGAACCCGACACCAACACCAAGATCCCACTGGAAAAAAAAGCCATTGCCTCCGTTGACCGCCGTCGCCCGCGCCTTCGGGCTCGCGTGCCCCGCGTTGATGAATGCCAGCTCTGAGCGCGCGGGAACAAGGCGGGTCGCTTCTATTCCCCCAGTCGGGCGTTGGGATTTCCATGGGCCGCGCGAGGCGCACGTAGCTCAGGCCTGCTGCGGAATCGCCCCCGCCATGGCCCAAAGACGGGCTTGTCGGAGGCCCCTTGGCGCACTCAGTGCGCGCCCGTGTCTCGCGAGGCTTCCAGGCCCCACGTGCGGGTTCGCCCGGGCCCGCCCGAGGGCTCCCTGCGCGACCCGCGCGTTGCCCTGTGTGCCCCTCGCGTTTGGCAGCGTTCTGTGAGTCTTCGGTCCAAGCCCAGGCCTGGGCACGCTTGCCATGCCCCAGGCCGCTGTGCTGAAGTCTCTGATGTCAGCGTTCAGTCGTTTCGGGATCTGGGTCGTAAAAGTGCGATGTGTGATTGGCCCAACGACCGTATGATCGTTGTTTTACATTGAACGCAAATGTTTCACGCGTGGCGCTCCTCTTGCTCAGCCTGGGGAAGTGCGAGCTGGTCGTCGGAAGGGCCCCTAGACTGGCAAGGACAAGTATACCCAGGCAAGTTGGAACAGAATGTGTACGGGGGCTTTGTGTGGTAGTGTTCTTATTCGTTGTTTTGCCGATCGGCGCGGGCCCTCGCCCCCCCCCCTCCCCCCCACGGAGTAGATCTTGGCTGTTTTTGGCGCCTTTTTCGAGAAGGTGGAGCTTCCCCCATAGGACGCACTGCTGCAAACAGTCGCGTTAAGCAGATGTCCGTAGCCAGACCCCCCATTCCCCCCCCTTCCGCCCAATGTCGAAAGGCCGAGAACAAAAACATTCACTATCCCAAGAGAAAGAAGTCACCATTTTCTGACACATTCAGCGTGCTTGAGTTCACGCAGCGGGCGGTCGCGTTCCCAAAAATCCTCCCCCTCTCCCTCCTCATCCCCCCTAGGACTTCTCCGTCCTCACTCCCCCCCCAGGGACTACCCCCGCTTCCCCCTTCTGCCCGTCGGTCCCCATCCCTCCTGCTGGAGGGGCGACGCCGCCGACGACGACGACGCTGACGACTCTGACGACGGCGATGAAGAAGACGGCGCCGCCGACGACGCCGAACCTCACCAACGACGAGGACGACGACGACGACGACGACGACGACGACGACGACGACGACGACGACGGAGCCCCGCCAACGCTCGGCGCCGGCCAGGACGCCCTGGAGAAGCTCGTCTGCGGGGAGCAGGACGTGCGGAGGTGGCCGGCGGGCATCAAGGCGTGCCCCGCCCCCCGTGCCGCGGGCGCCGCCGTCGGCGTGCGGTGCCGCTGGTTCGGACGGCGGCGCCGAGGCACGGCGCCGAGGCCGCCGACCAGTGCGTCGGGCAGGTGCCTCTACAGGGGGGGATGGCCAGAACTGGTTAAAAAATAGTCGGGGGGCGATTTTACCACCATTTTGGGCTATTTCGGGGCAGGGTCTGACTATGTTTTGCTTTCCGTCCAAGATCCGCCCGCAGGAGGACATGCCCGACGTAAGACGGCCACGGCGGCGCTGCGCGTCGCAGGCCCGCGGGCGGCGGAAGCCACGGCCAGCGTCGTGGTCTTCGGCGTCCTCGTCCTTCACTGCCACCCCCTCGCACATCTGCGCCCTCTGTCCTTCAAGCGGTGGCGAAGCGCCCTGGCTCGCCTATAGGCCCACCAAAGAATGTTTTTGTTTTATAATCTTCTGTGGTTTGCACGAAATGGTATTAGAACATTTCTGGCGGAGCCTGCCTTGTTTTAACACATCGGGCTAATGTTCTAAGAACATTGCTTTTGTTATTAGAACATTGCTGGGTTCTAAGAACATGTCGTGGTAGGCCTATAGGAATGCCAGGACGGTCGGTCCCTGCTCAAGTCTTGCCTCCTCGACGTCCATGTCGTTCTTCGTGTGTTGTCGTGGGGGGTTCTCAGGCTCTTTGGGGGGCCAGTCTGGGGCGAGCTTCGGGGCCTCTTGGGAAGACTGGGCGGGAATGAAAATCGTAACACCTGTTGCTGCTGTCTCTTGGGAGCCTCTTTGGGTCCTCTTCAGGTTGCCTTGTGCCGTCGAGGAAGCCCATTGGGCCGTCTTGCGGCCATGATGGGCTGTCGTTGGCAAGTCTTGGCTGTATCGGCGTCACCTTCGGGATCTTGTTGGGCCGTCTTGGGGCCACATGGGGCCTTATTGGGCCTTCTGGGGCGCCCCGAATCCTCGCGGCCTGATCGGAATTTCCGTTGTGACGGATACTTTGTTTATGTATAGCGGAACCGATTGTATGATCACAGTTCGATGCATTGTGATATGTCAGATTCGACAAGGCGTTGCGATCAACAAGTCTTGGCGCTTCGCGTGTCCCTATCAGCCCATCCAGAAATGATGCCCAGGCGAGTCGCATTGATCAAAAAGCGCCAATCCGAAGCTCAGACCAGCTTGATCACAGCCAGGAGTGATCCATTCATGCCTTCTCTTGCCTTCTGATCATGCGGTGTGGGAGTCTCTTGGCAGCTCATGCCAGCGTGGGACCCTTTTGGAGGCCGTCGGTGCCCCCTTGTGGGCCGCGAGGGCTTTCTGGGGATTCTCAATGTGAGCCCCATTACCAGAGCCGTATACACAGTATGTATAGGTGCAAGACCGGGGGTGGACAGAACCCCCAACAGCGACACGTCGATTAGTGAATCGTCCGTTTTCGGTTCTCGAGAGGGCGCCGCGGCCGCTATTTTCCAGGCTTGCGCCCGCCAGGTTTGGGCCTCAGGTCGTTTTCACTAAACCACGTTTTACTAAAGGGGGGTCTGTCCATCCCTGACAAGAATTACTCGTTCGTTTCGCTTCACTTTACAAATGTGGATCGCATGGCGCCGGAGAGGCCCGCCGCCGCCGGTACCCGACAGTACCGCGATGCGCTTCAGCTATGGGGTCCATGGGTCACGCGAGGCTGACAGGACCCACGGGCTCCACCAGGTCAGAGGGCTCAAAGGCCTCTCCGCCGCCAGTGGGGTTGAGGCTCGGAGCCTTACTTGGGAAGAGGGCTAATTCAGCCAGCCCGGCTCATGGGGATCGTGAGGTTCCGAGAGCCCGCAGGCGTGGTTTGGTGCATAGGGCTCCTCGGGTTGATGAGCTCGTTGGGGTTCTAGGGCTAGTAGGGGCCTCGGCCAAACAGAAGTCACGGGCTCTTGGGCCCCATAGCGGGCGGGCTCGTCGAGCTTATGAGGCTCAGAGGGCTCATAGGGGTCATTGTGCCCACCGTGTTCATAAGGCTCGCAAGGTTCATAATGGGTTGTGGGGGTCGTAGGGCTCATACGTCCCATGGGGCTCATACGGCTCATATGTTTGCGGAGGCTCCTTGGGGCCATGCGGCTTGTGAAGCCCGTGGGGCTGATAGAGCTCAAAGGGTTCGCAGGGCTTATGAGGCTCATAGGCGACATAGGGCTCACTGGGCTCGCAGGGCTCATGAGGCTCGTCGGGCTTACATGGCTCAGAGGGCTTGTAAGGTCATGAGCCAGGGCCTATCGAGGTCATGCGGCTCGCACGGCTCATAAGGGTCATAGGGCCTATTGGGTTCGGAGGGGCCATCGGGCGCGTAGGGCTCATGGGAGCCATATGGCTCACGGGGTTCATAGTGGGAATTGGGGCTCATAGGGGCCCCAGGGCTCGGCGGGTGGTGCCGCTTCGACTGCACGCTTGGGAACGAAGCCGCTCGTGAGTTCCTACGGGAGGTGCCCGGGAGACCTCTTGGAGGGCACACAGAGTTGGGGCCTATTGGAGGGCACACAGGGCTCAGAGGGTTCGTAAGGGTGAGGAGGAGGAGGAGGAGGAAGAGGAGGGGCAGGAGGAGGGGGAGGCGGAGGAGAGGGAGGAGGAGGGAGAGAGGGAGGATGGAGGTAGGATGGAGGAGGAGGAGGAGGAGGAGGAGGAGGAGGAGGAGGAGGAAGAGGAGGAGGAGGAGAAGGAGGGCGGGGCGGAGGGCGGAGGGCGGAGGAGGGAAGAGGAGGAGGAGGAGGAGAGGAGAGGAGAGGAGGGAGGAGGAGGAGGGAGGAGGGAGAGGAGGAGGAGGAGGAGAGGAGGAGGAGGAGGTGGAGGTGGAGGTGGAGGTGGAGGTGGAGGTGGAGGAGGAGGGGAGGAGGAGGAGAGGAGAGGGAGGAGAGGAGGGAGGGAGGAGAGGGAGAGGAGGAGAGAGAGAGAGAGAGAGAGAGAGAGAGAGGAGGAGAGAGGAGAGGAGGGAGAGGAGGGAGAGGGGGAGGAGGAGGGAGGGGAGGAGGGAGGAGGGAGGAGGGAGGAGGGAGGAGGGAGGAGGGAGGAGGAGGAGGAGGAGGAGGAGGAGGAGGAGGAGGAGGAGGAGGAGGAGTGGGAGGACCCCCTCCCTCTTTGCTGTCCCCCCGCTTCTCGTGCGACCGATCGGCACCGCCCACGCCGCTGCCACGACGGCGGTGACGCCGACGGCGACGGCGGCGCCCGCGGCAAGAGCGCCCCGCCGAGGCGATCTATGCCGAGCACGTCGACCGCCGCCACCTGCCCCCGACGGGGGGCGGCGGCACCCTGCCCACCCAGGACGGGGGTAGGGCCTTTGGATCGGAACAGGAGTCATATTCCAAATAGTTGTTTTGGGGGGCGAATTTTCCATACTTTCTGTTAGGGGTATGTTTGACAACTTTCAATTTGTCTTCCAAAAACCGCATGTGGGGGTACATGCCCGACGTAACCCTAGACCCTAGATCGAGGGAAAAGATACAGTACCGCACATCTACTCTTCATTCGCTTTTCCATTTCTGGGCCTCCTGAGAGGCCCTCGTCGCCACCGCCGGACTCGCCCCGAACTCCTGGTCAGAACGCACCCCGGGGTCCAGGGAGGAGCGGTATCGGTGCCTTTTGGTTTCCCCGTGTGCAGTCAACCAGCACGGGAAGGATGGGCAACCCTCCCAATGTGAACCTTTGCAGCCTTGCCTCCTCGGTCCATCCTCGGGCCGCTTTCGTGGGGCGCGCCCCGCTCGGAAAGCCTCGAAATGGCATTACTACAAGGCACTTGCACGCTTATCGTGCGTCCTTCCCAGGCCCCTGACGTCATGATTTGTTCAAGACGCGACCCCCAGAGGTCCCGACCTATTCCCCGGGGCCGGCTTTTCATCCTGAGTCGTTTTTTGACGGTCCCGAGGGCCAGTAAGGGCCCCCAGAGGCCGAAAATAGCGCGAGGGGGCCTGGGTTATTATACGGGTTGACTGCAGGCCCGTTCTTTGACTCGCCCCTTTGGCAGGGGAGCTTGGCTCCGCGCGGAGCTTCCCTGGGGGAGGGGAGGGCAGTGGGGGGGGGGGGGGGCAAGCCTTTCGGGGGAGGGCGGCCGGGCTCCTCAGTGAAGCCCGCGGGGGCCCGCCGAGAGCGGCGCCCATGCGGCCTCCATGAGGGGGCGGAGGGCCCTCCTCCTCCCCTCCTCACTCCCCCCCTCCCCTCCTCCTCTCTCCTCCCCTCCTCCCCCCTCCCCTCCTCCTCCTCCTCCTCCGCCTCCTCCGCCTCCTCCTCTTCCCCCTCCTCCTCCTCCTCCTCCCTCCTCCTCCTCCTCCTCCTCCTCCTCCTCCTCCTCCTCCTCCTCCTCCAGGAGGTCCTCCGGAGCCCTCTTTGCAGGCCCGCCCCCTCCGAGCCTTCCCTCCTGGTCGCGCCGCCGCCTCCAGTGCGCGGGCAGCGCCCCGGGTTTGGGTCGGCAGCCCCTTGCGGTTCGTGTCCGAGGCTCGCGGTGGTCCGAAGAGCCCTCTCGCTCCTCCTCTCTGCCCCAGAAAATGCCTTCCCGCTGAATCTACGAAACATCTATCTACGTAGAATGTCCAGGAGGTCTACGGACATCCCACGCGTCTCTTGCACATTCGGCGGGGAGATCAAGTTCGGAGTAAATCCATCCTGCAGTCCATCCCCTACGCATCGCTCGGACGTGCGTGTGCATTTTTTCAGCAATGACCATCGAGAAGCATCCTGGATCAGCTGGCAAAAATGCGCGCACGAAACCGAAAAATGCACGGGGCAAGGATGTCCGAGCGACGGCAAGAGTTGGCGCTCCTCAAGGCAGGCCGCACGGGGTGGGGGATGGCCAGCGAACGAGCGGTAGCGGTCGGGGCAGAGCGTTTGCGGTGTTGACGAAGTTGGTGCTTCTTACAAGCATATCTTGGAAGCCTTCTTAGAAGTCTCCGAGGGTTGCTAAGAAGGTGCATGCATTCTAAGGAGCCCCCCCACCTGATAAGGCCTCCCTTCTCGCGCCACCCACTGGTGCGCGCTGCCAGGTGTCGGGGGTACGATTATTTCAGCCGGCCCCTTCGGGAGCACCAACATATACACCTACACCGGTCCGACACAGACCAATCTTAGGCCCAGGATCAGTGCACGAGGTGTCTTCGCTTATCCTGGGCCCAAGACGGTGCCGGTCAAGATCGGTGTGGCGTCCTCGGCTCTTCCTCCTTCGCCCTCCGCCTCAAGCTGACCAGAATTTCGACGCCGATCCAGCGGAGGAAGTATAACCAGTTGCCCGCGACAAGTCCCGCCACAGTGCCAGCCCGACATTTTAGGCCGTAGCGTCTGACACCTCGTGTCTCCAGGCTTGGGAGAGCCGTGATAAGGCTGATGAGGATTATGATGTTAGTGGGGATGACGATGTTGATGATGGTGGTGATGGTGATAGTTTAGTGATGGTGGTGGTGATGACGACGATGACGATGACGATGATGACAATGACGATGACGATGACGATGATGGTGACGGTGATGGTGATGGTGAGGATGGTGGTGGTAACAACCATAATGATGACATTGGCGATGACGATGACGATGACGATGACGATGATGACGATGATGATGATGATGATGATGATGATGATGATGATGATGATGATGATGATGATGATGATGGTGGTGGTGGTGGTGGTGGTGGTGACGACGATAACGATGAACTTGGCGATGGCGATGACGATGACGATGATGATGATGCAGCTGCTGCTGATGCTGATGCTGATGCCGATGATAAGTGATGGTGATGGCGATGCTGAATGTATGAATTCATGATGCTGCTGATGCTGATGGTAATTATGATGACGGTGATGCTGATGATGATGACGGTGACGGTGATGGTGATGGTGATGATGGTGATGGTGATGGTGATAATGATGATGATGATGATGATGTTGGTGAGGATAATGACGATGATGATAATGACGATTACGATGTTGATGATGATGATGATTATGGCGATGACGAGTACGACGACGGCGACGACGAGGATGGTAATGACGACGACGACGACGACGACGATGACGGTGGTGGTGGTGGTAGTGATAATTAATGATGTTGATGTTGATGCTGATGATGATGATTATGACGATGACGATGACGATGATGATGATGATGATGATGATGAAGACGATGATGATAATGATGAAGGTGTTAGTGGTAATATAATGATGATGACGATGATGATTAGGATGCTGCTGATGATGATGATGATGGTGATGGTGATGATGATGATGCTGATGATGATGACGATGATGATGATGCTGATGATGATGATGAGGAGGAGGAGGAGCAGGAGCAGGAGCAGGAAGAGGAAGAGGAAGATGATCAGGAAGGCCGTCAAGTGTTTGGGCCGTCTTGGGGCTGTCTTGGCCTGCTGTGAGGCAGGTTTGGGGTCCCTTGGGGCCTTCTTTTGTCGTCTTGGGGCTCTCTTTGGCCGTCTCGGGGTCCTTTTGGCCGTATGTTGGGTGTCTGGGGACCGTCGTGGAGTCGTCTTGGCGCCGTCTTGGGCAGTCGAAGGGCCTTCTAAGGCTGTCTTGGGTCCCACGGGAGGCCCGCTTGCCTCTTGGGCCATTGCAGGGTCTTTTTGGACAATTTTGGGGCCCTCTTGGGGGCATCTTGGGCTGGCTTGGGGCCACCGTGGAGGTTTCTTGGGCCGTCTCGAGCTGACGGAAGCCCGGAAAATGCGAGAATGTGAAAGCCTAACAAAGCGAACGAAAATCAATAACTTTGGCCTCTTCGGACCGTGCTGGAGGTCCTTTTGTAGTCCTTTTGGGGCCCTATCGGCGGCACTTTCGGCCGCCTTGGAAACATACTCGGCCGCCTTGGGGCCATCCTGGGCCGTCTTCTAGGCACCTCGGACCGTCTCGGTGTCCGTGGTCGTCTGCCCGGGCTGCTGTGGAAGCTCGGGTGGTGTCTTTGGTTGTATATACAGTGGGGGCCCATGCCAAGAAATACCATTCTTGCCTCCAGGGTGCCCTGGGTTTCTTGGGTTTCGATGCTTTTACGATGGAGAGCGTGACGTTCTCACACCAAAAATCGATGGACGTCCTGGGGTCTCAGGGTTGGTTTTCTGGTGGGAAATTCCTCGTGGTCGAGCCCCCCGTGTATGGGCCGCCTTGGAGGCTCGGGACGCACGTCCATCGCTTTCAGCGAGGAGCCGTGGCCTCGGGGGCGCGGCGTCTTCGCTTTTACAGTGACGGATCGCGGCCTCGGCAGGGAGGGTGATGCATGTAGGGCGATGCTGCTTACAGCGGGGGCCCATGCCGAGAAACACTCTGCTTGCCTCCAGGGTGCCCTTGGCTTCTTGGGCGTCGATGCTCTTGCGATGGAAGGCGTGACGTTCCCACACCAAAAGATCGATGGGCGCCCTGGGATCTCGGGGTTGGGCTTCTTGTGGAAGGCTCCTTGTGGGCTGGCCTCCACTGTACAGAAGCCCTGCCAGACAGCCCTTGGTCGGAAACTGGAGCATATACGGTACCAGTGGCGGGCTGTTTTGCAATCCCAAGAGTTTTTGGGGGTCGGGGGCGACGTCGGGGTGGTATGGTGTACACTTTTTTACCTGTTGTCCCGTGGAAACAATGAAACATGTATACACCAGGATCCCGTATACACCAGGATCCGCTGTCCTGTGCGAGTTCCAGTGCGGGGCCGGAGAATGCGTCGGTGTATGGAGTTCGGCTCCTCACTCGGCACTCTTTCGCGCCTCGACCTGCACGAGGCACGGAGGCGGATGGCTGGTGCGTGCCGCGCCGACGCGGCGGCGACCCCGGCACGGACGCTCGAGGTTGAACGCCGCCAGCGGCCCATAATTTGACGATCTCGTTCGGCCTGCTCCCATCGGGAAGCCGCGAGCGCTCCAGGCGGAGCGCCCCGCGCGGTGTCCGGAGCCAGCGCTCGAGTCGTCTGGCACGAATGCGTCGTCGTCGGCGTCTGCTTGGCCTCCAGAGTCGACCAGGAGCTCCGGAGGCAGATCGACCTGCTGGAGCGAAAGGCGAGCACGCTGAAGAGGACCAGCGGGGCGAGCCGGGCTCGCTGGGCCTCGCTCCTCCTCTTGCGCTCCTCCTTCTCGTCCTCCTCCTCTTCCTCCTCCTCCTCCTCCTCCTTCTCCACCTGATCCTCTTCTGCCTCCTCCCCCTTCTTCTCCTCCGTATCCTCCTTCTCCTCCTTATCTTCCTCCCTCCTTCATCTTCTCCGCCGTAGCCATTTTGGCTCTGGCCTTTCCGCGGGCCCCCCGCTCCTGGAAGGAGGAGGACGAGGAGGAGGTGGAGTGAAGGAGGGGAGGAGGAGGGAGGAGTTGCTGCATCTTGTGTCTTCTGCTCCCGCGGCGCACCTCCGCGCGCTCCGTGGACTGACCCGGCCGCGAGCTGCTCGTCCCCGACGGCGAGGGACAGGGCACTGCCGCGACCCTGCCGCAGGGAGTCTACACGGCGGCGCGAACTGGCCACCGCCCCTGTCCTCGGCGCCGCTGGGCCACGCAGCGCCAGCTCGCCCCGCGCCCTCGGAGGTGATGGCAGGGGCCAAGAGAGCCCGCAGGAGGGGAGCAGCACGTGCATCCAGGGGCGCCGACGGCCGGCCCGCGCCTTCGGGCCCGCCGACGTGCAAGGCCCGCCCCTGGACCGTTCGCCCGCTGCGGTCGAACCGAGGTATGAGTGATGCGCCTGTTTTTCACCACCACCATGAGTTGGAGGAGGGGGAGGAGGAGGGGGAGGAGGAGGAGGAGGAGGAGGAGGAGGAGGAGGAGGAGGACCCCCTCCCCCTCCAACTCATGGTGGTGGTGGTGGAAAACAGGCCCATCGATGAGATCGAGGTCGGCCCGGGTAGGGTACCCACGTGTTTTTCGTTTCTGTTGGATCTTCTCGCGCATCCTGGGGAGGGCACCCCTGGATGATGTTCTGTGCGTCTTGGCTGGTGGACTGTCTCGCGTTCTTAAAGGGGTGCTCTTCGTCGCATGTCATCCGAGTGCATGTCGTCGCCGCCGCGCCCTCTGGCGCCAGGGTGCCGCGACAGCCTCCGCCCGCGGATTGCGGCCGCAGGGCTTCTCCCGGTGAGCGAGCGACGACGACGACGACGACGCCAGCGATGCCGACACCGCCGCCGACGACGACGACGACGACGACGCCGCCACCGCCGCCGCCGACGCCGACGCCGACGACGACGACGACGACGACGAGCAGCCGCAAGATCGCCCGCCGCGGCCTCGCCCTGCCATCGGCCAAGCGCGCCGCCTCGGGGAGTTCTGGTTGCGCGGGAGGTCGATTCCCCCAGGCACATCCCGAAGGTCTACACGATTTGCGGGTTCACTCAGTGGAGCAAACAATGACATACACATGAAAATTCTGAGGTCCGTGCGGGATCCTCGGATGGGCGCTGTGGCCCCCTGGCGGCGCCTCTGACTTCGCCCCTGGCGCGCTCCTCGCGCCATAGAGGGGGGCCAGCGCCGATCTGAGAAGTCTGCGCGGACCTTAGAGATCCTATATGTTTGTCATTGTTTGTTCCCCTACCTCTGGTTGTCCTGCGGCATTCCTTCCTCAGTACGCTCGAAATCACTACGGGCACGAAGACCGACAGCAGTTCTTGTTCATTTTGCATTGGGCTCGCTGTCGGTGTCCCGGCTGGTGCTTCCCATTTGGTGCAGAAGGCCGGTTGTCCAACAGCGGCCGCTATCGTTTTTAGAAACCCTTCGTTACTGGGCATAGTGCCCATGTTTGCTCAGCCACGCGCGGAGGGGTGTGGGGGGAGGAGTGAGGGTTTCTTAGAATCACCCCTGCTTCTTAGCAGGTGCGGCCATTTTCTATAGATGTAAAGACCGGCGCCTTCTAAGAAGGAGCCTCCTTCTACGAGGCCCTCCCCCCTCCCTCCACCCCCTTGTGCGCGCCGCCAGTTTGTCGTGCCCAGTTGGGAGCGTCCAAACTTCCTGTCCCCCCTCGCCCGCGCGCGCCCCTTCGCCTCGAGTCGCAAAGGAGGCGTCCCGCCGTTTTCGCGGCCGCTCGCTGAGCCCAACGCGCCGCACGCCGAGAGAAGTGTGCCCGAAGAGGTCGGTTCGTCGGGAGGGTCCGAGAGGCGCCCGGGCGGCCGCCGATGGGCGACGTCCGCCGAGAGAGCAGGCGGCGGGGCGGGCGCCAGGCGCAGTTCGTGCCGTTTTTGTTGTGTGGGTACGTGTGTGTACGTGTGTACGTGTGTGTGTACGTGTGTGCGTTTGTGCGTGTGTGCGTGTGTACGTGTGTGTGTGCGCGTGTGTGTGTACGTGTGTGTACGTGCGTATACGTGTGTGTACGTGTGTGTACGTGTGTGTACGAGTGTGTGTACGTGCGTATACGTGTGTGTACGTGTGTGTACGTGTGTGTGTACGTGCGTATACGTGTGTGTACGTGTGTGTACGTGTGTGTGTGTACGTGTGTGTGTGTACGTGTGTGTACGTGTGTGTACGTGTGTGTACATGTGTGTACGTGTATGTACGTGTGTGTACGTGTGTGTACGTGTGTGTACGTGTTTGTACGTGTGTGTGTACGTGTGTGTACGTTGGTGTACGTTGGTGTACGTGTGTGTACGTGTGTGTGCGTGTGTGTACGTGTGTGTACGTGTGCGTACGTGTGTGTACGTGTGTGTACGTGTGTGTGTGCCTGTGTGCGTGTGTGTGCGTGTGTACGTGTGTGCGCGTGTGTGTATGCGTGTGTGTGTGTGCCTGTGTGTACGTGTGTGTACGTGTGTGTACGTGTGTGTGGACGTGTGTGAGTGTGAGTACGTACGTGTACGTGCGTGTACGTGCGTGTGCGTGTGTACGTGTGTGTACGTGTGTGTACATGTGTGTACGTGTGTGTATGTGTACGTGTGTGTACGAGTGTGTATACGTGTGTGTGTGTGTACGTGTGTGTGTACGTGTGTGTGCGTGTGTGTACGTGTGTGTACGTGTGTGTACGTGTGTGCCTGTGTGTGTGTGTCTGTGTGTGTCTGTGTGTGTCTGTGTGTGTCTGTGTGTCTGTGTGTCTGTGTGTCTGTGTGTGTGTCTGTGTGTCTGTGTGTCTGAGTGTGTGTCTGTGTGCCTGTGTGTGTCTCTGTGTGTGTCTCTGGTTGTGTGTCTGTGTGTGTGTCTCTGTGTCCGTGTGTCTGTGTGTGTCTCTGTGGGTGTGTGTCTGTGTGTGTCGTCTGTGTGTCTGACTGTGTCTGTGTGCCTGTGTGTGTCTGTGTGTCTGTCTGCGTCTGTCTGTGTGTGTCTGTGTGTGTCTGTGTGTGGCTGTGTGTGCCTGTCGGTGTCTGTGTGTGTCTGTGTGTGTCTGTGTGTGTCTGGGTGTGTGTCTGTGTGTGTCTGTGTGTCTGTGTGCCTGTGTGCCTGTGTGTCTGTGTTTCTGTGCGTGTGTGCGTCTGTGTGTCTGTGTGTCTGTGTGTCTGTGTGCCTGTGTGCCTGTGTGTGCCTGTGTGTGTCTCTGTGTGTGTCTGTGTGTGCCTGTGTGTGTCTGTGTGTGTCTGTGTGTGTGTCTGTGTGTGTGTGTCTGTGTGTCTGTGTGTCTGTGTGTCTGTGTGCCTGTGTGTCTGTGTGCCTGTGTGTGCCTGTGTGTGTGTCTCTGTGTGTGTGTCTCTGGTTGTGTGTCTCTGTGTGTGTCTCTGTGTGTCTGTGTGTGTGTCTCTGTGTGTGTGTCTGTGTGTGGCGTCTGTGTGTCTGTGTGTGTGCCTGTGTGTGTGTCTCTGTGTGCCTCTGTGTGTGTCTCTGTGTCCCTGTGGGTCTGTGTTGTTGTGTGTCTCTGTGTGTGTGTCTCTGTGTCCGTGTGTCTGTGTGTGTCTCTGTGGGTGTGTGTCTGTGTATGTCGTCTGTGCGTCTGTGTGTGTCTGTGTGCCTGTGTGTGTCCGTGTGTCTGTCTGTGTCTGTGTCTGCGTGTGCCTATGTGTGCCTGTGTGTCTGTGTGTGTCTGTGTGTGTCTGTGTGTGTCTGTGTGTGTGTCTGTGTGTGTCTGTGTGTGTCTGTGTGTGTGTCTGTGTGTGTGTCTGTGTGTGTCTGTGTGTGTCTGTGTTTGTCTGTGTGTCTGTGTGTCTGTGTTTCTGTGCGGCTGTGCGGCTGTGTGTCTGTGTGTCTGTGTGTCTGTGTGTCTGTGTGTCTGTGTGCCTGTGTGCCTGTGTGTGCCTGTGTGTGTCTGTGTGTGTCTGTGTATGTCTGTGTGTGTATGTGTGTGTGTCTGTGTGTGTGTCTGTGTGTGTGTCTGTGTGTGTCTGTGTGTGTGTCTGTGTGTGTGTGTCTGTGTGTCTGTGTGTCTGTGTGTCTGTGCGTCTGTGCGTCTGTGTGTCTGTGTGTCTGTGTGCCTGTGTGTCTGTATGTGTGTGTCTGTGTGTGTCTGTCTGACGTCTGTCTGTCTGTCTGCGTGTCTGTGTGTCTGTGTGTCTGTCTGTCTGCCTGCCTGCCTGATTGCCTGCCTGCCTGCCTGCCTGCCTGCCTGCCTCCCTGCCGGCCTGCCTGCCTGCCTGCCTGCCTGCCTGCCTGCTTGCGTGCGTGCGTGCGTGTGTGTCTGGTGTGTGTGTGGTGTGTGTGGTGTGTGTGGTGTGTGTGTGCGTGTGCATGTGTGTGTGCGTGTGTGTGCGTGTACGTGTACGTGTACGTGTACGCGTACGTGTACGTGTACGTGTACGTGTACGTGTACGTGTACGTGTACGTGTACGTGTACGTGTACGTGTAAGCACGTGTGTGTGTGTTTCCGTGTGTATGTGTGTGTGTCTTGTGTGTGTTGTGTGTGCTGTGTGTGTTGTGTGTTGTGGGTGTTGTGTGTGCGTGTATTGTGTGTACGTGTGTGTGTGTGTGCACGCGTAGTGATGCACACTGCTCGCCCCGCTGGCCTCGTGGCAATGCTGTCGCACCTCGGGAGCGCCGCCCCTGTTCTCAGGCGCCGTTTGCTGCTGCTGCTGCTGCTGCTGCTTAGTGTCACCGACACTGCCGCATGGGGAAATAAAATTAGAAACAGCGGGCGACACGCGCGGGGTGACAGAGACGCGGGAGAGACGAGGGAGCGTGAGCATCCTGGAACCGCACTCGAGAGCACGGGTCCGGTGTTCTCGGGGGTGCTCGGCCAGATCAAGAAAGAGGCACAGGAAGCTGTGGAGAGCGGCACGAGAGGATGTGCTGGCAGATCGCGAAGAAGAGTTACCTCACGGGCAGCCGGCCGCAGGGAGTGTGAGGTGGCAGCGCCGTTCGGCGGACCCAGGTCGACGGCGAGTGCAAGAGCACGAGGCTGCCACTGTGATGAATAGCAGCGCGGAGGAGAGCATCGGCAGGGCGCTGGTTCACTCGGCTCAGGCTAGTGGAGGGTCTTGACGGCGCCAGAAAATACGACCAAGCCGAAGCAGTTCGCCTCGAGTCATGGTTAGGCGGTAGGACTGGTTTCGACCGGCAAGGGCCCCAGCAGCCGCATGGAGCAGATTTCTTGTCGTCAAGGTGACTTGAGGGCGCGGTCCGACGCCCAGAATTGGGACTGGAGTCGATTGGATTCGATGCCCACAGAGAAGCGCCTGATTAGCTCGAAGGGGGAAGACAAAGCGGACATGTGTGGTGGCGAGGAGCAATGCGATGCTATCGACCGAGATTGTGAGCGTGGAAGAGGTCGGAGGCGCTCGTCGACGAAGAAGTCTCGCACCGACCGCGTAAGTCTGGCGGGAAGTCCGAAGATGATCGAGTTCTGCCCCAGCCTCCCGCCCAACCCCACCCCAACGCCCTCGAGGGGCTGAAGAGAGGGAGGCGGACGCTGCTGCCGAACGACGAACCCGAAGGATGACCGCACCGCACGTCATGGCGCCAGGGCCGGCTCCGTACATCTTCCCCAGTTCAGTAGCATTGTGTTGTATCAGGTGACGGATAGGTAGGCTCCAGCGACGATGGCGACAGAGAACTCGATGGAGAAGACGTACCGTTGAAGCGTCCATTGATGGCGCTTCAGCATTCATGCTGAATCGAAATTGTGCTGGAAACTCGCTCCCTGGAGATGCGCGCTGGAGATTCGCGCGACGACGACAGTGAGTTTCTTAATGAAGCAAGCTCGCCGCCGTGCGCTGCGCATCACGACGTGTCTCCTGGTCTGCGACTTCTCAAGGAGGCGTGAAGGGCGCAGGGTGCACTGACATCAAGCGGTACAAACGTTGTGCGAAGATCAATTCGGCTAGGATATCGCAGGAATATCCAAGCTTTGATCAACAAAGGTTGTCGCACCAGGAGCCACGACCTCGCCGACGATTAGTGTCTGGAGACATGTTGCCAGGTGCCACAGATTGGCCGCGCCAAAGTCATCCAGGGTGCGTTACAGGAGACCTTCATGCTGGAGCTCGACCACAGCCGATACGAAGGCGACGATGCTGACAGTCGTGGGGTGTGTTCACCCTCGAGGGTTCTTTACTTTACCACATAGGAAGTTGTGCTTCAGGTCGTTGTCGTCATCCTCCCCCGCGTCTTCTTCCTCGTGTTGCAGACCGTTGTCGCCGTCGGCCCATCCGTTCCGCAGCGCGTCGAATGGCAGGAGAGGGCCGCCCCCAGCACTACACGCAGTTGCACATGGTGGGACCCTTCGCTAGGCTAACTTATCGTCGTTCTCCCTCGCAGCATCGTTCCCGCTTGCACCATTTTACTCGTCATCATCGTTGTCCTCATCACCCTCCCCATCAACGCATCATTTTTCTCAGCGCCACTCCTCTTCCCTCCTCCCCTGGGCTCCTTACTCGCATACTCCGTACCCCCCCTCCTGCTGATTAAGTAGACAAGGCAAGCAATAAGGGAGGCAGCGGGGGCAGGCAGGCATGCTGGCGAGCGCGAGGGAACGAGCGGGGTGGAAGTCATGTTCCCATCGCTGTCGTTGCTCTTCGTCCCACCCACGGTCGCAGTAACTATGAGTTCCCGTCCCCTTCTCTTTGCCCCATGCGCCCCTGTCTCGTATGAGCGCACCCCCTTGCCGCTTCTAATTACCCGCTCTGCTCCTTCTATGCTCAGCAGACGCGTCTCGACGCCAGTACGCCATGTATGTGCTGCAGGCTGGCATGGGGTATGCTGCTTCGGGCCCCGCCGAAGCCTTGTGCTGCTCGCCCTGCCCTTTCTCCCCGCATCTCCTCACCCTCTCTTCTCGTCGTCAGTCCTCCTCTCCCTCAACCCCATCACCATCCTGGCTCCACCTTTCCGTCGTCCTCCCTCCCCGCTCCTCCCCCCTTAAGTCCCATCGTTTCCATCCTCGCTTGCGCCGTCATCCCTCCACGATATTACTCAACATACCTCTATCATCTCTCCCCCGTGTTTGTCCGAGCGGGGCCAGTGTTTCCCCTCATCGTTTTTTCCTTGCACGTGGGATTTCAAGGATGTGTTTCCATATGTTTGTTTCGAAAACCCTGTTTACAAAATTCAAAACGTTGCTCCCGCTGCAGTGTTGACCTCATTTCAGGATCGGCTCGCTGCTCCCGTCGTTCAGAATGGCGCTTTCGACCTGGCGCGCCCTGACCATGGTCGCCCTCGTCGTCGTGGGCGCCGCCCCCGCCGCGGTCCTCGCCGTCCTCATCGACGTCGCCGTCGAAGCTCTCGTCATCGGCCGTGTGGGTCGTCGACGTCGACTTCGCCCTCGCCGCCGTCCTCGCCGTCCCCCCTTGTCTCTCGGGTGCTGCCAGAGGTGCCCCTGGCCCGAGGTGCCCCCAGGATGTCCAGGGAGGCCCCCACGGCCTCCTTCGCCCCCCGGTCGCGAGGCCCCAAGGGGGGCCCAGGGGCTCCCCAAGGTGGAGCGACAAGCCGGGGGGGGCACCTTCGGGCCGGTGACACCCTTCGCGGCCCCGGGTTGTCGCCGCCGTCGACAGCGTCTTCGTCCTCGTCGCTGAGGCCGCGGGGTGGCGGCGGCTCCCACCGCGTGCCAGGACGTGCGACCAGCAGGAGGCGTCTTCGAAGGCCAAGCTTCGCTGCTGCCGTCGTCGCCGTCGTTGCGGCCGTCGTCGCCGTCGTTGCGGTCGTGGCCGCCGTGGTCGCCGACGTCGTCGTCACAGTCGTCGGCATGGTCGTCGCCGTCGCCACAGGGTGGAGAGGTCCCGGAGGAAAGGGGTCATGGCCTTCTGCCGCCGTCTTCGAGCTCCCAGAGACCTCCCTGGGCCCCAGGGGGTCACTTGGCATCGCTCGGGCGTGTGCGCTTTCTCCCTCGGCGAGGACCATCGAGGCGCATCTTGACCCACCTGGTGAAGCAGAAACGCACGACATCGAAAAGTGCACGGGCATGGACGTCCGAGCGATGGCGAGGTCATCAACAAACGACTTTCAGAGCGGGAATTAACTGTCCCGCTTTCGCTTCCAGGCAAAACCAAGTCATACCACGCGCCTCCTCGTCAAGCGGCCTGACCAGCGCAGGCCGTAGTTTGGCGTCGCTTGGTATCTCTTGGAAGCGAGGGTGGTCAAAAGCGAGGTAGGTTTGTTTGAGCCCTAGACTTGGGATACAGAGCCAGCCCGTGGGAGGCCCAGAGGGCCAGGACCCGCTTCAGCGGCGATGGACCCCCCCCCAGTGGCGCCTCCAGCGTCAAGCACTGACGCGGGGGATCCGCGCGTGCAGGCTTCTGTCACCCTAGAGGAGAAGGAGGAGGAGGAGGAGGAGGAGGAGGAGGAGGAGGAGGAGGGGGGAGGAGGAGGAGGAGGAGGGAAGAGGAGGAGGGAGGAAGGATGCGAAGGAGAGGGAGGGGAAGGAGAGGGAGGAGGAGAAGGAGGAGGAGGAGGATGGGACATAGCCAGGACGCCGGGTAAGGCGACCCGGTTAGTGGTAGGGCCCTGATTCACTAAACCAGGTTTGCCGCAACTGGTGTTTTTCGGGTGACGGCAGTTCCGGTTAGCGGAACGGGGCGGGGGGGGCGCCTCCCGGTACACATCACTGCACCAGGTTCCACTAAACCCAGTTCTGCCAACGCCCGAGAGGAGGAGGAGGGAGGATGGGAAGGGGGAAGGATGGGAAGGCGAGGGAAGGCGGAGATGGCCCAGCGAAGCTGGAGGGATCTCTCCGTGCTCCCGCGGGGGTCTCGAGAGGGGGGCGCATGGCCCTCTCGGGGTGGCTCTGTCCGGGCGCGCGGGGGCACGGGAGGGGATGGCCGGGCGCGGGTTGGAGAGAGGGCAGGTCGCAGGCCCAGAGTTTGACACCAACACCAATATCGGCTGTGTGCCTCCACTGAGGGAAGAAGATCCCGATCTCGGCGATGGTGGTAGTATTCCGGCTTCCAGGGTGGCCGAAATATGACCACCAACACCGAAGTCAAGGATCATCTTCCCATTGTGGAGGCAGCCCCCTGTGTTGGTGTTGGTGCCCATGTCCAGGCCTCCAAGCAGGGGGGGCGGGGGAGGGGAGGAGGGGAACGGGATCGGGGAAGCGCAAGCATGGATCAAGGCGCGACGACGACGAGGACGACGAGGACGACGAGGACGACTCGTCGTCGTCGTCGTCGTCGGCGTCGTCGTCGTCGTCGTCGTCGTCGGCGTCGTCGTCGTTCGGCGCGCTCCGTCGCCCAAGCAGGCCTCACTGGTTTCATGTTTCGGGGGGTACCTTCCCCGATCCATGGTAGCAGGCTTGTGCCCGCCAGGGGTCGGAGGAAGAGAAGGGGGTGGAGCAAGAGGAGGGCAAGGAGGACCTTGACATCCTCGCGCCGTGGACAAGTCACGACGGGAGGTTTCTGGCAATTGTCGGCCCCCCCGGGGGCCCTTACTGGGCACCAGGACCCCCAAACAATTACTCAGGGTGAAGAGCCGGTCCCCGGGAAGGGGTCCAGGCCTCTAGGGAGCCACGTTGTGAAATCACATTGGCGACGTACCCGACACAGTTGCAGCAAGTGGCCGGAAGAATGGGTCACGCTGCGTGTTACAGGACCAAGGTTCACCCGCTTTCTCCATCGTGTCGTCGCCGTCTCGCCTGTCGTGGCTTCTCTCTTTCTCTCCCTCTCGCTCTCTCTCTCTTGAGCCGCGGCCCCCGCGCGCGGGCGTCGCCACGTCTCGAGTATTGAGCCCTTTTCGTTATTTATAATTCGTATTATTTGTATTATTACCATCTTTATTATTACGAGTGCGATGATTACTATTATCAGTAGACTTCTTTTTACCTAACAGCGAAGACTGATAGGTTTCTAGTGGTGTCAAAAGAGAGCATCATGACTCCTCAGAGGGGTCGGGGCGGGACCCGGGGCGGCTGCCGCCGAAGCCCAAATCGCCTGGGACATCCTCGCAAAATCGCTCTTGGCGTACATTTTGGATGCCCGGAGCCAACTGTAGGCCACTTCGTGCTCTTCGACTTCCCAGAACTCCATTCCCGGGCCACATTTTGGATGCCCGGAGCAAACTGTAAGCCACTTCGTGCTCTTCGATTTCCCAGAACTCCATTCCCCGGCCACATTTTGGATGCCCGGAGCCAACTGTAGGCCACTTCGTGTTCTTCGTGTTCCCAGAGCACCATTCCCAGGCCACATTTTGAATGCCCGGAGCCAACTGTAGGCCACTTCGTGTTCTTCGTGTTCCCAGAACATCATTCCCAGGCTACATTTTGATTGCCCGGAGCCAACTGTGAGGTTGAGGCTGAGGCAGGCTGAGGCTGAGGCAGGCTGAGGCTGAGGCCGAGGCAGGCTGAGGCCGAGGCTGAGGCTGATGCAGGCTGAGGCTGAGAGGCTGACGCTGAGGCTGAGGCTGAGGCCGGGGTAAGCTGAGGCTGAGGCTGAGGCTGAAGCCGAGGCAGGCTGAGGCTGAGGCTGAAGCTGAGGCAGGCTGAGGCTGAGGCTGTGGCTGAGGCTGAGGCAAGCTGCGGCTGAGGCAGGCTGAGGCTGAGGCCGAGGCAGGCTGAGGCTGAGGCCGAGGCAAGCCCAAGCAGGCTGAGGCTGAGGCTGAAGCTGAGGCAGGCTGAGGCTGAGGCTGAGGCTGAGGCTGGGGCAGGCTGAGGCTGTGGCTGAGGCTGAGGCAAGCTGCGGCTGAGGCAGGCTGAGGCTGAGGCTGCAGGCTGAGGCAGGCTGAGGCTGAGGCTGAGGCAGGCTGAGGCTGAGGCCGCAGGCTGAGCTGAGGCCGAGGGCCGGGCAGGCTGAGGCTGAGGCTGAAGCTGAGGCAGGCTGAGGCTGAGGCTGAGGCTGTGGCTGAGACAAGCTGCGGCTGAGGCAGGCTGAGGCTGAGGCTGATTCAGGCTGAAGCTGAGGCAGGCTGAGGCTGAGGCTGAGGCTGAGGCAGGCTGAGGCTGAGGCTGAGGTCGAGGCAGGCTGAGGCTGAGGCCGAGGCAAGCCGAGGCAGGCTGAGGCTGCGACTGCGAGAACAGCAGAATTCTACGTGGATTCTCACCTAAATCTTAAGGGGAATGCTTCCAGATATGCTTCTACACATCGCTGTTAGGTTGCTTTGCCGGGATAATTTCCATCATTAGCATGATTATTATCATCATTACTACCATTTCAATACCTATTACTATTAGTAGTGCGCTGATTCCTCGTATCCTTATGTTGCGATGACGGTTATTTTCAGCAGTCGGAGTATAAATTGTAGTACTGGTCACAGAGTTAGCATTGTTATTATTTGTATGTTTACCACTAGTATGATTTACATCATATGATTGTCAAGTTTTATTATTCTTACTCCTGCTCTTGTTATCCCCCTCCCCCCTGCCCGCCGCCCCTCCCGCCGTCCGCCGCCCCTCCTCCAGGCTGACAAAGCCCAGAAGACGGAGGAGAACCAGGCGCCCGCGGCGACGGCTGCATCGAGGTCGTCGCCGTCCTCGTCGACGAGGGAACCGCCGTCGTCGTCGTCGTCGTCGTCGTCGTCGTCGGCGCGTGAGTCGTCGTCGTCGTCGCCGTCGTCGTCGTCGTCGTCGTCGTCGTTGCTCGCCGTCGCGGTCGCCGTCGTCGTCTCCGAGGGTGTCTCGGGCGACGGGGGCCTCCAGACCCCCGGAGCGGTGCGGCGACAGGCCGCGGGGAGGGGCCGTCTTTGTGGACTTCGGGGTCGCCGTACGGCCTGCCACTGGACAGTCCTGGGGATCCCAGTCCTGCCGCCTCTCCCTCGCCCTGCCCGCCGCACGTCGGCGGCGGCGGGCGAGCATGCACACCGCGCTGCCCGAGCCTGCTCGGCGTGCTCTGGACCGTCGAGGCGGCCCCAGCCCAGAAGAGCGCGAGTGAGCACTTTCTCGAGGTGCGCTGGCACGCGGGATTCTTCGCAGGGGTCGCCCGTCTGTCCTCTCTCCTCCCTTTCCTCCCTTGTCCAGTGGCTTCGGTGCGTGTTGGGGTCAGTGGAGGCCCATGCCAAGAAACACCCTGTTTGCCTTCAGGGTGCCCTGGGTTTCTTGGGTTTCGATGGTTTTGCAATGGAAATCGTGGCGTGCCCACACCAAAAGTCCATCATGGACGTCCTGGGGTTTCAGGGTTGGGTTTCTTGTGGAAGGTTTCTTGTGGACTGGCCTCCACTGTATCCCTGGAGCTGGAGCTGGACGCGCTGCGACGCGACCGGGACGCGCTGCGCTTGATCCTCCTTAGGGACCGACCTGTGGCCGCGGGCTGGAGGAGGAGGAGGAAGAGGAAGGAAGAGGAGGAGGAGGAGGAGGAGGAATGAGGAAGAGGAATGAGGAAGAGGAAGGAGGAGGAGGAGGAGGATGGATTTTTGCGTACATCAACGCACCTGCCAAGAGCCCGCGAGGCGCTCATCCTGGAGCTGGACGCGCTGCGCCGGGACCGGGACGCGCTGCGCTTCCAGGCGGCGCGGCGGCGGGGCCTGGCGAATAGGTGTAATGCCCGCCCCTGGGCTATTCGCCCCTATCGTCGCCACCGATTGTCGTCGTTGTCGTCGTAGTCGTCGCGGGTGTTGTGCGCTCCCGAGGGGGGGGAGGAGGATCGGAGGAGGATCGGTCCTCCTCCTCCCCCTCCTCCTTCTCCTGCTCCTTCTCCTCCGTAGCCATTTTGGCTCAAGCCGTTCTGGCGCAGGTGTGCGCTTGCGGGTCCTCTCTTCAGAACGGCAAGGGATCCGCGAGTCAAAATTTTGGCTTCTATATTCTCGTTCATCTTTCCCAGTCAGACTGATGTCCCATGGCCCCTACAAGGGCGGCGGCGGCGGCGGCGGAGGCACTCCTCCCCCGTGGCGTGGCGGCGGCTCCAAGGGCTGGCAGAGGCATGACTGGAGTAACTACGACTACGGCGGGGGCGCCCAGTGGTCTGCTGGCAAAGGATACGGCGCGGCAGGCAGGAGTGACTGCTGGAAGTGCGTTGCGTGCGGGTGCGGCAAGACCACAGTGTGGGCGTCACACTGCAAGCACTGCGGGTCGCCGAGGCAGGCTCCTTCGGCCAGTCAGCATGCTCCTCCTCGTGGCGTTTGGTCTCATCTTCAGGGTCTTCCTCGCGCTCCTGGGTATCACCCCCCAGGAGAACGGTCTGCCCTCCCGCCTGGACCTCAGCTTGGAGGAGCGCCGCAGGGCACGGGCAGCAGCGGCCGTGGTCCAGACGCCCCGCTGGACGCGAAGGAGCTCCAGATGCTGGTTGCCCTGGCACGCCGCGCTGGTGACCAGGCCACCGCGGCCAGGTACCAAGGCCAGCTGGACGCCATGGCGGCAGCCTCGAAGCCTCCGCCGAAGGCCTTGCAGGACCAGGTCAGTGACCTGCACCACCGCATCAAGAAGCTCGACGGCCGGCTGGAGGCGGAGCTGGCGAAGCTTGCGAGGTGGCAGGACGGCATCAAGGCGCAGGAGGTACTCATTCACGACTTGTCGAAGCAGTCCGAGGCCATGGTCACAGAACATCGGCAGCTTGTGGCACAGCTTCACAGTGCAGTTGTTCCTCCCTCGGATGCCGACGAAGAGGCTTCGCCTGGGCCCACCTTGTTACTCCGCGACCTCGTGGACGGGCGAGTCTCCAACATCGTCATCGACGACGGAGGCCTTTTCTCCGTCGACGCTGAGGGCATGGAGGCATCTGATCTTCAGGAGGTGGAGCGACGTCGGGCCGATTTCAAGGAGCATATCGGCAAGGCAGCCAAGGCCCTGTTCGCCGAAGCCGAGCACGACGGGTACCTCAAGCGCATGGCCACCAAGCGCAGGAAGGGGTGCGATGGGGCAGTGTCGGCTGGTGGCGGAGTTCGCGAAGGAGGTGCTGATGAAGGTGGGTCGCATCCCGGGGGTGCCTCTGGCAGTGGCGACGCATCGGCCAGCGACGCTAGCCAGCCAGCCGCCTCAGTCAGCCGAGTTCGCGAGCATGCAGCACGAGTTGCAGAGCGGGTTCAGCAGCAGCAGTCAACTCCTGAGAGCAGCGGCTCAGGTGAGCGGCACAGTGAGCAGAAAAATCGCAGCCCCCCTGACGGGCAGCAGGCCTGAAGGGGGGGGGGGGTACACTTTTCTCTGCGAGCAACACCTGATAGGTGTTCCAGTTCAGTTTCTGCGGAGGGAGGTCGACAGCGAGCACGTGCTGTCAGGACCCCTCCTCCTCGTGCCCAACTTCTTCCTGATTTGCCTCGAAATACTAGTCTCAACGTTCGAGATAGGGATGCTTCTTGCTCGGAGCCAGGTGTTGGCACTGAGTATGGAGGCCCCTCTTTGCCCCCGCCACCTCCAGGCCAACAGTCGTTCCGTCTGAGAGCCGTGTCGGTCAATGGTAATGCCTGGGGGTCGGTGAAGGAGTGGCTCCCCAGTGTAGATGCAGAAGTGATTCTAGTCCAAGAGCACAAGCTCTTGACTCAGGAGGCTCTGGATAGAGCCTCTTCCGTCTGTCTCGGCCTCGGTTTCAAATCTCTTTGGACCCCTGGCACGACTGGGCCCGAAGGGGGCTCCTCTGCGGGAGTCTCGATCCTGTGTCGCGCCACTCTGGGGCTTCATAGGGCGCCCTCGGGGCTCGAGCTGGCCCCCCACAGGGCCATCGCGGCTCTGGTGCATGCGCCCCAGGGGGGCGCGTTTCAAGTTTGTTCTGCTTATATGCGCGACTCTGAAGGGCTTTCGGAACCTAACCTCGAGATACTGTCGGCTATAGGGGCGGAAGGGTCCACCCGCGGGAAACCATTCCTTGTCGGGGGAGATTGGAACATGGAGCCTTCCGAACTCGCCAAGTCCTTTTTTCGCGAGCACCCTGGTTGGTCAAGTCATCGACCCCAGCAAGCCGACTTGCCACGCTGGCGCGGGCAAAGTCTACGACTACTTCGCGATTTCCTCTGGGCTGTCGAAGGGCGCAGCCGAAGTTCGCATAATCGAAGAGGCGGGGTTCTTTCCGCACAGTCCAGTTTGTCTCGAGTTTCATGCTGGTCTGGCACAGATGCACTACCTCGCTTTCAGACGCCCGCCTCCTCTCCCATCGGAAGTACCCTTCGGTCCTCAGGCAGAGCCGATGGACTTTAAGCGCGTGCGTGCCCAGCTGGACGCGACCTTCATTCGAGCCAAGAGAGGGGGCGATGGGGTTATGACTGCTCGCCTATTTCGTGAAGCTCACGCGTCTTGGGCGGGTCTTGCCGAACGGGAACGTTCAAGGACTTTCGGGGTTCGACTTCCTGTTTTGGGGTCGAGGGGCGTGGGGCCCAAGACCCATTGGAGGCCGATCCTCAGTAAAGACCACGGGCGCGTGCGCCACCCCCAGCTCCACGCCTGCCGCTGGCTCGCTTCGAAGTTCAAAAAGCTTTCTATGTGTGTGCAGAGAGGGGATTGGCCTCAGGCTAGGGAAGCGGGGTGCGTTCTGTCGCCTCCCCCCCCCCTAGCTTGTGTAAGCCCGACAACCTGTTCCCTGGGATTGAAGTGGTTTTCGGTCGAATTTCCTCTGTGATTTTGGACCTCAAGGTTTTGGTTGACCCGCTAGATGGGTCGGGTGATGATCCTAGTTCTTTGGAGGCTCAGGAGGTTTTGATTACCCAAGTCGAAGAGGTCTCTACCCAGGTTACCGACTTTGTGTCTGAATGTAGCGCCTTCTACGCCGCCAAGGCCAGACGGGATTGGGCGGACTGGCTCACCGAGAATGTCGATCAAGGCGGGCGTAGGGCGCATGGCTACACCAGAGATCCTCAAGGATGGACACCATCCACTACACTTAGTGCTGGAGGCTGCGTGGTGTCCGACCCGCAGGCGCTCCTGGCCGCCGAAGCTGTTCGTTTTCGCTACTTGTGGGAAGGGC